GTTCCACGTTTGCCAACTCCTTTCCAGAAACAAAAACTGTGTGACCTTTTAAGGCAGATGTTTACACTGTTGGAACAGGATGAAGAGGATTTTTTTGGGTTGTCTGGTAACCATGGATGAATCTTGGATCTATCAGTATGATCCAGAGACCAAAACCATGAGCATGGAGTGGAAGCATGCCGATTCCCCTCCCCACAAAAAGGCAAAGGTGCAAAAGTCAGCAGGAAAGGTTGTGTTATGTGTTTTTTAAACTGTCATGGAGTCATTCTCACAGATTACCTTGCAAAGGAACAAACCATCACTGGCACATGAAAAATATGTTGTGGGGTCGCTGATTTGACATCATTCATTAATTAGAAGAGTGGTTTAAGGTGCAATCTGCAGTATCTACAATATCAGGTATTTGGAGGGTCAAAAAACACTGGGGAAAATGTGTAAGGGGGGAAGCAGACGGGTGGCACGGGGCCACCCCAGGAAGCTATGCTGCGGGGCCGAGGTATCCACACACCTCGGCCCCGTGGCGCAGCTTCGCCGCTCCTGGAAGGGGCGCTAAAATAGCACTCCTTCCACAAATCGGCAAAGGTATGCTGCAAAAGGCTGGCAGTGCACCTTCGGTGGCTTTTCTGCTGCAGCGCGTGCGGACGCTGCAGCGGACAAGCATCCTCGGAGCGCCGGCCATGCAGAGGGCCAGCTGCTCCGAGGACATTTTGGGGAAGGGGTTGGGGCGCCCAGCGTGTGGCTGCCCCTCCCCTTCCTTGCTCTGAAGATGGCGCTTTGCGCCATCTGCTTAGCCCCTAAATCTAGATGGTGACTACGTAGAAATAAGTTAACTACAAATCAAAACAAACTTTCTGTCAATTTTTTTTAAGGTGCTAATTTTTTTTTTAAAAAAAGGTGAAATCACAACTGTGCTGGCCACAATCTAGAGCAGGGGTAGACAATCTTTTTGAGCCGGGGGCCGGGTTGCTGTCCCTCAGACAATTGGGGAGCCGAAGCACCAAAAATTAATTAATTAATTAATAGATAAATAAAAATTTTACAAAATTAAAAAATTAAAAATATATGCATGCATGCTCTCTTGGCCCCAGAAAAGCCATGGCAAAAATAATCAATGTCATCATGGCAGGCGGCAGTGGGAGGGGGTGGCCGGCAGCGGCAGGACCGGCCTGGGACCAGTCCAAAGGCCTCGAGGGGCCGCATCCAGCCCCCGGGCCTTAGGTTGCCTACCCCGTGTTAGATAATAGATACAATGTAGTGTAATTATGGTAATATAATGAATGTGTTTTTTATGTTTAGTAAAAATTATTAATAAAAATATTTTAATTTTTTTTAATGTAATAAAACTTTACTATACCCCCCTCATATATATAATTGCCATTTCCTGTTGAGTATTCGACTGCTGACAGGACAAGAGAGAACCACCATCCTAAGTATTTAAAAGGGTTTTATTTTAAATTAAAAACAAACAAACCAGTGTGCTTTATCCCAAGTGAGCATAGTTAGGATTGTTGTTGTTATTTCCAATTGCCTTCAAGTCATTAGCAACTTATGGTACCCCTAAAGCAAATCTATCATGGAATTTTTTTGGCAAGATTTGTTCAGAGGGTGTTGCTTTTACATTCCTCTGAGGCTCAGACAGTGTGACTTGCCCAAGGCCACCCAGGGTTTCCATGGCCAAATGGGGATTTGAATTCTCATTTGGCCATGGTCATAGTCCAACACCCAATTCTCATTTGGCCAAGGTCATAGTCCAACACCCAAACCAGTACACCATTCTGACTCTTATAGTTAAGATTTGGCTACAAATTATCCAACTGAATTTTAAAGAAAATAGCAATAATAATATTTGCATTTCAATACTGCTTCATAGTGAACTAAACACTCTAAAAGAAGCAGTTCAGCTCTGGGGAATGGCATCACTGTGTGTGTGTGTGTGTGTGTGTGTGTGTGTGTGTGTGTG